ATGCACCGCGGTCATACATGACATGATTACCCGTGACCTTGCGTCACAAAAGAGAATGAGTTCAATGTATTCACTGCGTGATTGCTGATTTTGCCAAGAGTTTGTTTCTTTTAGGAAAATTAAAAATCTTGACGGTTTCTAAAAGTACAAGCTTATTTCTATACTTGCCCATATGTTTATTTTGTTTTGTTTCGTTTGTTTGCTTGGAATCATTTAATTTTTCATTTCGTCAGCTTAAAAAGGCTGGAGAAGACTTACAGAAGGAAAAATACAAAATTCCAAAGTCGGGTTTCAAACCGGGGTTGTCGTAGCAGATAAATGTTTATAGGCCTGGCTTAGCCATACCGAATTGGTTCTTAGACATGCCCCTCACGTAGTGAGAGCGTTAATCTATAACCGCAGAACTCTGAAACTATACGTTGTGTTACTCATGTGTTCAATTATTACGCAAAAAGACAAACAAAAAAGAAAGAAAGAATTAATAACACTAGCTAATTATTAATCAAATCCGACATCATAAGAACTTTTGATATGTCTTGAATCCTTCGTTGGTGCTGTGAGCCAGTTGTTGGCGATCCACTTTTCTCCTTTAATGACGTCACATCCGCCGTGAATGGAATATCGGTCTAAATCTCCAAGAAGACCGCTCTCCGGGTCAATAAAATTGTTGTACCACATGATGGCCGTGCCTTTCTTTGGAGGGACAACCAGGTTGACTGTGTGACAGCTGATGCTCAGATTTAGCTCGTCTGCTAATGGATTTTCTAATTCCTGTGAGTCGCGAGAATAAAAATCAGTGCAATCTTGGTGACAAAACTGAAGCAAGCTAGACAAAAATGAATTCTTTTCTACTTTAATGTACGTCTGGCGTTCTACTTATATTCTTGAATACTTAGTAACGGTAGCTTTCGCACTTAGTAAAAAGAAATAAAAAAAGTGAAGACAAGCACACATTTTTAAATTTATGTTTTACTGATAAGACTTTTGAAGTACGTACTCTAAGTCGCCATCACTGTAGGCCGAGTACGGGGTACCGATATTCCAAGAAGGGTTGAGGGGTACCCAGGCTAAAGTACATGCATGAATTTAACAAATTGACGTCAGCAAGCTTTTCATGCGTCTGTCCTGTTATTGATGATGAATTTCGTCATAACATTGTCATAGTAGCTGCGGATCCACGAGGCGATAGCCTTGTGAATCCGCAGACTACTTTGACAATGTTATGACGAAATTAATTGTCAATAACAGGACAGACGTATGAAAAACTAACGTCCATTTGTTTTTCTACGATAACAAATTGTCAAACTGTCCGCTCTCGCTCGTTGACGCATCGCATAAATTATAAATTCATGTGTCTGACCGCATATTGACGATGAAAATTAGCCAATGAGCGCGCGAGAATTTCTGCAGTTATCGTAAAAACTGGTTTTGCGCATAAGCGAGAGCAAATAATTGGTACTAGGTTTTCGCAGTTTGACCCCTGACAGGTTGAATAATAAGTAAATGCATATTTAAGACGTAAGTGATAACTTTCCATCTCATTTGAAATATTGTGATAAATATGATTGGCATAGAACTAGTATGAAAGTGTCTTAAATCTTCTTACCTTCAAAGAGATAGTAGAATTGTCTGCCACTGGAAATGCCGTTTCCCCGCCTTCTTCGACGTCATTGAGATAATAAAGAATTGTGATGAACCTGCGGACGCAGCAATTGCAGAAGAGTTCGTCACAACTGATTCAGTGAGCACTTCGGACTGAGACAGGTCTAACGCAGTTTGGATATAGCCTGAACAGTAGTCGATCTTTTCTTACTTTTCGCTGCGCATCATGCATCGCGCATCTTCTAAAAATGTTCTGCCAAGGAAAACGTTTCTAGCTAAAAGTCTGAAATAGCGTGCCAGTTGTTTAGTCAGTTTTTACCCCTGAAAGAGTTCAAGTAAGTATAAGCAGCATAGCTAGGTGAAGTATTTTGTCGTTATGTAGCACCTTTTGTAGTTGGCTATGGTTATCAACACCTTACTGCGTCTGCGTGTGTCGGCTTATGCTCCTGAGCTAGTGAAAGCCAGCCTTAACTAGCTGCTTATGTTATCAGCTTACCTGCAAAGACGACATTGTGGTGGTTTTAATGAGGGGTTTTGATGACAGCAAGGAACATCGGGTTCAAGACCGGAGTCGTAGTGAGCATGGTAATGACCAAATGTTTGGTAACGAACAACCTACAAAATAAACCAGGTTATAGAACGGTTTTATTTTGAGTGTTGAAAAGTAATTGATTTTGCATCAACTAAGCAACATGATTGGCTCAAAAAACTAGCGCCATTTTTTTTCCAATCAGGCGTTCGTTACTCCTAATTTGCATCATATCATATGTCATGTCATGTCATGTCATATCATGCTATATTATGTCATGTCAAGTCATGTCATGTCATGTCATATCGTGTCATGTCATGTCATGTCATATCATGTCATGTCATGTCATGTCATATCATATCATGTTATATCATGTCATGTCATATCATGTCATATAATTATGCAAGCGCTAACTGTATAGTAGTACTTTCCTGTGGGTTTTGGTCAGTGTCATAAATTAATTGCAAGCAAATAGTAATAAGGCTGGCCATACATATGTATTCAGGAGAGGTAATTCATGAACATTACGTATACCTGCATTGATTCGCTGCCCTGAAGAATTTTCCTAGGGAGCTTTGTTAACTTGACTATTCTGCAACCAAATCAGTTTCTTTTCATAAATTAAAACCTACTTTAAAAAATAAAGTAATGACACTAAATTGAATTATGCAGTTAGAACAACTGGTCAATTTTGAGTTTGGTTGCTGGACTATATGAGTGACAACGAGCACAACATTGCCTCACATAATTTAACAGCCGGACGCATTTTCAGATTATCTGACCTCCTGGCAAAATTATGAAATTATTCCAGGAAACTTCTGAAGCGTGTTTTACATACATACCTTTCATGAAGGCGTCTTAGAATATGGTCAGCGCTCTTGTCTTGTCGTAGCCACGCAGTGTCGCTAAAGCGAAATTTATGGCGGGGACTCGAAGTCTTCAAAAACACCATGTATGAAAGAAATTTCTTTATGTTCCAATCACTGAAAAGTGAAGCCGTTATGCTCCCTGGAGGTAAGCAAATAAATATAAAATCAAGTCTTTCGTAAAAAGTGTTACAATGTAAACTATACGTGAGCAGTTTTTTATTTGAGACTAATATAATGATACAAAATATATACATCATGGAATTTTAGGAAGGGAATGGCTTTTAAAATCATTTCAGCGATCAGGGAATTGAACTTAAACACTTTTGTTTTGCTTTCGTTTATTTATTTACCTTCCTTTTGTTTACCCGCTATTCCTGAGCGTCTTAACCTTCAAGAGAGAGATCATTTCATATTTCAATTTAATATATATGAGTTCATTTCAAACCAAAAAAAATTAATATAAATAAAAGTGAAAAAAAATCATGAAATCACACATGAAAAATATTTAAGAGTTAATACAATAGCACTCACATTTCGATTATTTCTTCATGCTTTAAGTGCAAAGTGTAATATTTCTGAGCAAATTTCTCGATCTGTAAAATGAAAAACAGGGAGTACTACTATATATGCATGCACATGTTGTGGTGACGACGATATTCCCATTCTAATTTTGAGTTGTTATGTCGTTTACCACTGTTGAAGTAATAGAGCATGTCGCTAATACAACTAAAATGTTATGGGCACAAAACTAGTTAAGGTGATTCTGTTTGACAATTGTTTCTTTGCTGTATTCCGTGATTCGTATCCTTACCTCTTGAATGTCAATGACGCCATCTTTGCTTGTATCCCATAAGGCGAAGTCTCGAGCAAAATAGTCCTTCTGGTCAAGAGTTGAGTTACTGTCTTACAAAAAGAATTTCTGTAAATTAGGGGGCAAGTTACAGGCTTGAAGCTTCTCGCTTAGTGCCATATATCATTTTTTTGGAATAGCACGAGTACCTTTACTAATATGTATCACTTTCCTGCACATAAAATAGCGAACAAAGGGTATCATTCCCGTTAAGAAACCTTGGAAGAGGTGGCACTAAAATGTCAGTGAAAATCGACATTGTTACATCACCTTATTTTTGGACTGACCTGGCCTCTTCGGTTAAATAACTTAGTTAAGGCCACTTGTAGTTACCATTTAATTTTAGCACAACTTCAAGACCTTTGATTTTGACTAGCCAGCGAATACAATCAGCCACAGACTTAAATCGGGCTTCATTTCGACCTGCTGATAATGGCATCTTCATCGGCACCCCTTTTTTTTATCCATGCACAGGATGACTAATTCCAGTCATTCAATAAGATTGCGGTACCTACCAGCTTCTTTCATGACCTCGTCCAGGTCCTTCTCATGCAACTGGCGTCCAACTTTACTCGTGCTAAGGCCTGTTTCCTTTGCAAGTGAAATCACGTGTTTGCACTCTTCATCGGTTAAAAAGTCAGGAATCTCTGGATTGGAGAAACAAAGTAAAATTATCACCCGGACATTTTATACCGAGCAGCCCATAACCAGCTCCCTTCGGTTTGCTTGTACTTCTCTATTCTCAATGCGCAGATCCCTCTATGAGTCGCGACCACATCGATCCCGATAATGGTATTACATGTAATTGTATTCAACGTTGTCAATTAGTTGTCAATTGGCCAAGTCTTGGACTTGTCGTCTTGTTAAATATATACAGACAACAGCCATGATAGCTAGTGGGGCCACCTCATAGAAATAATTGAGCATTAAATTCTCGCAACGGTAAGGTCACAGTAGAGAAGAAGAAAGAAAACCTCTGGGACCAGCGGGTTTTAACGTTAGAGCTGAGTAAGTGACTTGGGAAGTTTAACACTAGTTCTTGACAGAAAACTCATTCTTTGTGATGTGATCCTTGCGTCACGATAATTTCCTTCTTTTTAAAAACTAACCGCAATCGAACAATCGTTATAATTAGGCCGGAATTCCAGCAGACTTTCTTAAATGAATTTCTCGAAGTCTACAGGCCACACTGTTTCCAACCGGTATGTTCTACGATATGGGTAAATGGAACACAACCCCGTGGAGATTATGTTAAATGTTTGTTAACTCGAAGCTGATAAAGCTATTTTGGATCGGGACCTTTCTGTAGATCACCTACGGGTGAGAAAGCTTCCCGTTAAAATATCATTATTAAGCTAAATTTACCGCTGTCGAGGATTTGGAACAGCTGACTGAGCATTAGCCCTTCATCGACATCTTAAGTCTATCTTACAGTGCCCTATGCTTATCAACAAGTTGGAAACCCTTGCTTGAGCGAGGTTTAAACAGCACATAAGAATGATTATCACTCACCGAACAGTAAAGGTTTCATTGCTCTGGTGATTAATTTGTAACTTCTCCCTTCTTCTAGTTCCACCCATCTCACGTGTCCTGTCTGTAATTTATGCAAGTAAATATAATTTTATAACAGAGCAGCAAAGGGGAATGATCGAGTTTACCAAGTTTTTTTTTATATAATCTAGGAGACACCAAGATGTAATCGGATGTCTTGTAGATACCGAGTGGAATTAATCGCGCTTATACGACTAACTGACAGACAACATCGAATTTGAAATTATAGCATGAAGTTCAGGGTGTTTTAGTGTGATAGAATAAGGAAACAGAACAAACACGTGTCTTCACGATTTCTCCTTCCTTTATAATGAAACTCCGTGAACCTTAATTAATCAAGTAACGACAAACTAACTACCCATAACACCAATCGGCATTGTCGTGGACACTATTACTCTTAATTCGTGGCAAAACATTTGTCGAAACCGCTTTAAACTAATTTCCTCTGGTGAATTATGGCAATCGCTTTGTTTCGTTTTGGTTGTTTATATCATAACCTGCAATTGCCTTACTGCATTTCTTTCTTAGCGCTCATATCTACCTTCAGTTGCAAGGGATCAGATAAATACAAACACGTGGCTTTTCACAACGTTCTTCATCACGAAGCAAGGGCATTTTCTTATGAAAGACACTTTTCCTATTAGCAAATCTAGCAGGTCTTAGATAATATAACCAGCTGATCACATTGTTTAACTTGCCCGTTTTTCATGTTATTTTTGCTCGATAATGTTACAGTATGGTTATTTAGATATTTCTCAATGGTAAAGGAATAACAAGGCCGGCATAACGAAGCGTACCTATAATTTTATCTACTAAGAACCAACAGAGCGCTCGTGAAAAAACTGGTTATCGTGTGATTTCCTAGTCGATTAAGTAAATTATATTCAAGTCCTCCACTTACCTTTAAGCCTTGCAAGCGAATAAGCTTGAAGCCATTGGCATTCTCACACGAGTCATCTAGACTCGAACATGTGGAGAGATTCTCGCCTTCCTCGAAACACGGTGTGGCAAACGGCCGTTTGTTCTTACGCGCGTTACCCTCTAAGCTGCAAAACTGAATCAAATTGAATAAAAAAGATACAAGTGAAATTCTGTCGAGATTCATATGTTTAGAGCTTTGACAAAATGATACGACCGATACAGATGTTATTCGTTTAAGTTCCCTACATGGTATTCCCAGTTATCAATTATTAGATACATTCAGTCCTACCCACCGGTTGTTATCATGATGGTTACTTGTGGTTACTTTGTCAATGACGGGAAACTTGTTCTTGTTCATTTTTGCTTCAGCTGAGAAGATTACGAAGACCCGATAGTTCTTACGTTAGTTGAGGTCTTATGTTAGCTGCGAGCAGGCTCTGTCGATATGTGGCCTTATTATTTGCACGCTTGATTTCTTGGCCTTCTGCGCGGGCTGTTCTTGCGGCAGTGAACGCATCTGTCCACATCCTCGTTCTTAGGGTTTTTGCTTCAACAACCCATCCATAACCTGCGCCCAGACGTGTAATATTTCCTTGTCTCACGCAGAAAATTAAAGTGTGCGTTATCCCGTTACGTTCTACCATTCACATGTAGAAAAATCAATAAATACTTTATCCAGTAGGATGACTATTTAACACAAAGTCAGAGACGGAAATTTATGCGTAAAACAGGTGAAATAGGTAGACCACCCATCCAAGGATGAAAGAATACTCCAGCACTAGAGTCGCGGCATGGGGCGAAAGTTAAAAAAGGGACAAGATATATAGATATATTAAATTGCTTTTTAGCAATGAATAAAATGACGGACTGAAATCTCAGAACAACGTAAATTAACAAATTGACGTCAGTTCTTCATGCGTCTGTCCTGTTATTGATCATGAATTTCGTCATAACTTTGTCAAAATAGCTGTGGATCCGCAGACTACTTTGACAATGTTATGACGAAATTCATTGTCAAATTGTCCGCTCTCACTCGTTGACGCATCCGATAAATTATAAATTAATGTGTCTGTCCGCTCATTGTCAATGGAAATTAACCAACGAGATCGCGAGAATTTCTACAGTTTTTGTAAAAATAATATTTGGCTGATGAAGGAAAATACTACGAATTCCTGTTGGTTCCCTTTGGTTGTACCATAACAGTTCACGGAGAGTTAAGTTTTTCACAGCGAGCAACTGTTGATAGTCTCTAAATGAAAGTTTCTAAATGGGACTTGGCGTGCCCTCAGGAAACCAATTTATTGGAAATTTGTCGATGTAAATCATAAAGCGCGCGCGTCCACGCCACTTTCTGATTGGCTAGTTCTGATTGTGCGTATGCAATTTACCCTTGACCAAAGCAATTTTCTCTTTTGCCTTGGTACTCTCTCCTCCGCCGCCAGGGTTCAACCCCTATATAATAAAAATTATATAGAACGGGGAAGAGAGAGTTTAGGGACAGGAATGGGATATGTTTAGTATGCCCTCTAGGCAATGTGTCAATGTATTTTTGAAGAAGAAATGATAGGTTGTTGTTTGTAATTTCAAATGTGATCTGTGCGATGCAGATTACGTTTGTTATATCACTCGTCATCTTTACCAGCGCATCGAAGAGCATAGAACCTCTGCTATTGGCAAGCACTTAAAACAAGGTAACCGCGTCAAGTAGCCTGACCTGTCTACTGATGTTTTTCGTGTTAAAAAAAAATAGTGCCAAGGAAAACTGCACTGTTTAATTCACGAAACATTTTTTTTTATTTTTGAAAAAAAAATAAATAAATAAAGCTCAAAACACAGAGGGACTCAACTCGTGCGAAAGTATTTATCTAAGTTTATTCCGTACGCGTTTAACTGTTGCCACTTATGAACTCTTATTACTCCGTGTTACACTTTAATATACTTTTGCACCTTTCACGCTATATACTAAAATCTCGACCGTTATCTTCTTTCTCTACTAGATGCTGCATTCAAGATGACTTCGAAACGTTGCAGTTTTCGTATCAGTAATAATAGGTCTGATACACTTTTTTATTAAAACACTCCAAAACCGTTTTTCAATTGAGCGTCGTAAAAACACAACCAAATCCATTATTCTGAGGACAGCCCATGGCAAATGATCAAACATTCCCATAAAGCAATCAAACTCGAACGGCATGTATGGTTTTTTTCCATATTGGATGAGAATGTGGTGCGAATTTTAGTGCTACACATGTAATGCAAAACCAGTCCAATACGAATTATTTTCGACATTCAAGCGGAAACCACTTTAGTATTGTCAAGTTTACCGGAAAATTCCTCTCGTCGAAATTATTGTCAAAATAGCAATTCCAGTGCCTTGACAATCGTTTGACTCTGTAAAGAAAGTTTCTCCTTCTTCTTGTTTGAATTCGCCGATTGGCAACATGAGCGCGTCGTTTTATAGGAGATGTAACAAAACGTTTGATCACCGTTTACTGAAAATCGGAGCTCCTCAACGTTTTCCTCTGCGATATATACTTGGAAGATGCTGGTTGGACTTATAAGGTGCTGTTATCCAGTGATTGGCGATCCACTTGCTTCCTCGTCTGACGTCACAGCCTCCATGCAGAGTGTACGGGTCTCTCTCCCCAAGCCACTCGCTGTTGGAGTCAAGGAGGTGATTATACCACATAATCGCTGTGCCTCGTTTAGGTGCAATCACCAGATTGGCTTCCTGGCAGTAGTTACTTAGATTGAAAGGGTCGCCTTCTTTACCTCGTTTCGATATCAGCATCTGGTGAATTCAAAAACACTCTTTGCTTATTTTAATTAGCCTTAGTCACACTGTTGCCAGAGCCACCGTGCATATCTCTACTTCTGACTTTTCTTAGCTTCAGGACTAGGAACGCCCCTCTATACCGAAAGGAAAACTTATTTCCAATCTTTACGACTTAAAATCCTTCTCAGTCTTTACCTTAGTTTGCTAAAAAGAAGATAAATGCTAGAGAGGATTGACTGAGATAACAAAATACAGCTTTATTAGTCGTCCTGCATGTACTGTTTTCCGTCAGAGACTGCTTCCATCTTCGTGCGGTACTCAGCATTTTGAAACCACCAATAGGCCCTTTGCAGCTAAGCCATCACGTGACCTACTTTTCATAAAATTATGGGCTATAACTTAACGAATGCCAGAAATGGGAAAAGCATGTCGAAAATATCAAAATGGCCAAGTTTGAGGCCCCCATCACCAGAGAATGAGATTTTATGATGGTCTGAATTTTTGAAAGAATAAGAAGATTTGTATGGAAAAATGTTGCTGGAGAACAAGACCTTGCTCTTCAGCAACATTTTCCATACGAATCCTCTAANACAAAAATTTTTTAGGAAAAAATTGGTCACGTGACCCCAGCTGCAAAGGGCCTATTTACCTTTCTTAAAGATGACTTCCAGTCCGTACTGCGCAGTCTCAGCTCCCTAATGCTTATAAGCGTTAAAAATCTCACTCAATGGAATGCGAATCGATGTAGGGTTATTCGTTACGTACCGCTGCACATACCTTATCTTTGAGGCCTTTCAAATTCTTTTTCCAACAGCTTCACTAATTTTTACAGCTGCGAAGTTGTTTCATCAAGCGATATGAGAAAAACGAAGCATAAAGCTTCGACCGCTTCGCATCCATAATGGCGGTTGTCTTGAAACTTTGAATTTACTTTGTGTAAGTAGTTGCGAAATGTCAACATTTTGTGATGTCTGGACAGTGGAAATTATCTTTAAAGTCATGGGTAATTAGGACCATAAATAAAAGGCCTCTTTTTTCGTACTAATACTGCGTTCTGTTAGGATGAATATAGTGCATGTGTGTAAATCTCCAATAGCTTTCTATTAAATTTCATTGTCCATCAGTTGATCTGCCATTAACGTTATAAACACCTTACGCCATTTTTTCTTGTACACTTAGTCTCTAATCTTTCTCAATGAACGACACTTTGTCAAGCGTAAAGAAGCTCGTAGTGAGGGGTATAGAAGATCATTACCCCTTTGGCAACAATAGGAGTAAATTTATGATTTTAATTCATTTATGATAACATGCAAGATCTTAAATCACAACCAGATCTCACCGATTCATTTAGAGTTGAGTTATCAGCGACAATAAAAGCCGTTTCTCCTCCTTCTTCTACATCATTCAGGTAATAGAGAATTGTCGCCATCCTAATGGAGGTGGAAAAGAAAAGTCTGAAAATCTGCTGCCAGGGAAATCATGACAACCTAAAAGACATCCTGTGCTTAACTCTGAACATCGGACATCTTCGTTTATCTGTTGTTGCTTCATCCGATAGCATTGTTTGAATCATATTATTTAGCCGTAAGCGTGGCCATCAATTAAATGTCTCCCACGTGGTCTAGTGGTTAGGATTCGGCGCTCTCACCGCCGCGGCCCGGGTTCGATTCCCGGCGTGGGAACATCCATTTTTTAAAAAAATTTCTTTTTGAGTTCGCCGGCCGGCATTTTGAATTAGTATACTACATTACTTTTGAATTTTAACAGCATTAAACTTACAACTAAAGGCATACATGCTTCAGATATTACAACGCTCAATGCAGGCAGGCCAAACGAACAGATAAAACCAAACATAGCTAATTTGATGGGATAAAGAATGTNAATATTGCTCTTCAAATGAGATCAAGAAATTAAAAGAGCAGTTCGAATATGAACGTTTATCGGATGCAAGGGTATCTAACGCAGTAAAAACCCTAGAAATGAATGGGAGAGCCTTGTTACAGCCAACTATTAAATGATGACCAAACTAGGCCAACACCTTCAAACTCCGCGTCACCTCCGGGTCGATAATTCGTCACCTCTTCATCGTGATGATAACACGAGTTGGTCAACTGTTGGCGAGCGGCGGGTAGAAGCTAAATCAACCATCATCGTGTTTTGGGCGATTCGACGATTAAATATTTCGACACCAGAAGAATGAAATCTAAAATGAAAAATGTGTTTCGTAAATGCTTCCCTGGAAGCTCCACGGAAGACATGAAGCATTAGGATATTTTGGGGACTGAGTCTGCATGCCCAAATGAGTTTTCTTCCAAATCCAATACGGTGACGTCTTACTCTCTTCCCAATAAATTTATTTCTCACAACATTGTGAGTCTTCCTAAGCACTTTGAAGAGCTTCAATCAAGTTTAAGTAACCAATTAGTTGATTTGCTCGCTCTAAGGGTTAACACTTTAAAGGATGAATTATGTTCTATTGCTGGGTATGATTTATTAAGAAATGATAGAAACCGTCAGGGCGATGGTGTTGCCATTTACATTAGGTCTACGATTAATTATCTTATTCGTCGAGATTTAGATTTAAAAGGTATTGAGGGTATCTGTTCTTATGATCATTGTGCTTACTTTTGTGTCGACGTTTGTTTTCACTTAGTAGGATAAATACCTTATGCTTGCGCTCGCACGTGCTTGCCCCTGTGCTTATGTCGCCGGCTACTGAAAATCAGGCATACTATGTTCACAAGCCAATCAGATTATTTTTGTTTGTATGTTACTTACCGGCACAGGCGACATGGCTTGGTTTTATTCCTCGTCTGATGACAGCAAATCAAATTGACGTCACCGGTGGATGACGAATCATAATGAGCATGATAATGACCGTACTTGTCATATTTCACAACCTAGACAGTACAGTTATCAATCAATCGATATGGTTAATCTATGTGTACATCAAAGTGGATAAGCCCCTTATAAATGTCCTCCAAGAAAAGTATAGTACAGTCCGAGCTTTTGAGAAGTTCACCTTGTTAAAATAATTCGAGATTGTACTGGTCATTTAGAGGATGTGGCTGCCTCAAATTGGACAGACCATGCATGCATGCATGAAGTACTTATAGTTTTCACGGAGTTGTCTGAATTGTATAACAGATAGTTTTTTTCAAAACAAGTGTTCATATTTTAAGAGTTCTGAGACCTCGTAACTGGACAATAAAAAAAAATATTTCCTATTAGTATTGCAATTGTTTTCCTGTCCAAAGTCGACGTACCATCTATTTCAAACTTTCTTTTCTTAGTGCTCACCTGAAGAGACTCTGAGCCTTCCACGATCACTCGAGGTAACTGGGTTAACTTCTCAATTCTATATTTGACAAATCAAATCAAAGGCATGTTTGGAAAAATCTGATTCAAGTCCCGTAGAGAAAATGGAGCTGACTGAATATGGTTATAAGCATGAAGGCATAGATTTTCTTAAGCTCACAGCGAGTAAATTGTTCGCATACGCGAGAAAACAATTGAAAGAGCACAGAATCAATCAAAGAGGGGTCGATTTAGTGTAACACGAAAGTGGCACCGTGTGTTTCCTATCATGAAAGCAACTGAGATTTCAATTCTTCATTTCAATTCTAAAAGTTAACCACTTACCTGTCGATCATCCTGTTTTGCACTGGATCAGGAATTGTGCTGTGTAGATAGGCGGTGTGGCTGTACCTTGATCTATGTCTCGGGTGTATTCTCGCCAGTGTCTTCATGTATTTGTAAATTTCATTCGTATTCATTTTTTCGTATGTGTCGTTGTTAATGGCACCTATTGCACAAAATAAAAAGGTTAGTTTCTCTTTACCAGAGGTCTTTCTCCTTTTGTTGCGTGCAAGCGCACAGAGAGAGGATTGAGGAGCTAAAGAGAAGTATGTCTTGAAAGTGGTCGTTGTACGACGGGAAGAGAGAGAGATTGCGCGTTGCAAACAGAGCACTTGAATGTTTTGAATGATTCTCGACTATAAGTTTACAGCCAAAAACTGTGACTAAAGTATATGATTTGAAACAAAAAAATTAATTTTCTAGCCTCTTGCTGAATTCTAGACAGAACAGCTGATTTGAAACGCTTTTTTCTAGAGTCCTTCTAGAGTCCGTACAAGATGTGCAGTATAGCTTGCTTGAACCATCCATTCTGTGAATGGTTTGAATTTCATTTTTAGGCAGCTTTTTACATCCTTGTGAATTACGCACAACAGCAGAATGATTGCTGTTGTTGGGTAGATAGTCTTTATTTTGATGTGATTCCTCAGAAATAAAACTGTTGCCTGACAATTTTTTTTTAAACTTTCCCTGAAGTTTTCCTACGAAGCGCTGTTTCGAAAAATACAATAAAAGGGATAGGTCACCATGCTCGCTTAAGAGACATGATGGACCAATTTTATCCTGTTTATGCCCAATCACGCACGTTATTTCATCAGTTCACGTTACATTTTTCAGTAGCTGGAAGCAAAGGTTATTAAACCAATATACTTTAAAATAATCTTGATGGGTAGAAAGACTCGGGCACTTGAAACAATGTAATATATAATTTTTGGAAAAATTACACAATTCTAATCGACAATGACTCAAAACGTTCCTCGAATCGTTGAAAGACCCAACTCACTGATACTCGCTTGTGTTTTGGTGATCTTACCTAAACAAACTTTGCAACTTCGTTGACAGTTCCGCAGCATCCAATTGACATGATCATCATGAAGGCATTTTTCCTCCTTAGCCAGTGATGAGCAGTTTGCTGCTAAGTCTTCACATCCGCAATTTCCACACGACTTCCTGCATGTCAGTAACATCCATGTTGGATATGCGTCACATGCTCCTTCCTTTGCCAGTTGCAAACAAGAAGCTTCATGATCGTCACAAACGTGGCCTGTAAATGAAGATCCTGGTTCATAAGAATTCTCATTGGAGAAGCCACCCCACCCGTTTCCCCCTCCCCTTGCTTCCCCCTTCCCTTGGTGAATGTCGTTACCCTCCTTATTTGTCCTCTTTGACGCTGTTGATACTGAATGACATGGCCTTCACATGTGAGAGGGCTGAAGGTAATAATTAGCCTGTGAAATATCATCAGAACTGTTATTTCAAGCGAAAGCGGCAACTAATGCAACGCTTATGTAGATTATGTGTAGTTTGTAGGTTATTGTAATGGATGAATTGTAACGCTGCTTTTATGAGTAAGTATTAATTTTTGTGTTGTAAGCATACAAGTCGGTAGGTCTGACAGAAGCAAACTGATATTTTTCTGTCTTCATATCAATCAAAATGAAAACTGACGTCCTTACCTGAACCAAACTGCTTAATGTTCAAATCATCAAACCTGTATATGGTATGTACAAAATAGACTCGTCAACTGAGTTGTAACTTTTATACGTACGAACAAGAAATTAAGGTCCAGAAGGAATGTTATATTTGTCAGTCCGCCCCAACAAATTGCCTTTCAATTATATGAGTACGTGCACAAAATGTAATTGAAATGCTTACATCTCGAAGACGTCATATTCATCCAAGTACATGAAAAATAACATTTCTGCTGCCTTGATGAACTGCAAACAGAAAATTAAAAGCAAACATTTTATTACAATTCCAAGAACATCTTAAATAATTAAACACTAAAATGGCTGACTGTTTTCTCCGAAAGTTTGTACATTGATCTTAGACCAAAAAAAAAACTTATTACATGAACTACTATAGCTGAAGTTAAATATCTAAATTATACAAATCCCAGACGACTCCATTTCAGAGTTCGAACTCGAAGATAATATTTTTTTTCTAAACCACAACGTTAAGAACCAAAGAAATGTAATTCAAGAGTATGTCTATGAAACATAAGAATTACCTCGTATCCAGTTAGAACACCGTCTTTATCAAGATCCCAGTGTTCGAAGTCGTAAGTCCTCTCATCTGAAATAATATTGGCAATTAGGACAAAAGGACTGACTACAATTAAGGTAAAAGGAGTACAGATAGTTTTGACAAAAGGTTGGAGTTGATATCTTAAGTGAGTTGACAATTAACTGTTTATATTAAGATTTAATGGAATGTCTCGAGACAGTCCAAAACAATCCCTTTCAAAGTGGTTTAAAGCGCCCACCAAGAAAACATTCTTCAGATGTACAGTTGAACCTCCTAAAATTAATACCCACACCAAAGGGGGAGATTTAAGTGTCCTTATTATGGAGGTGGCCGTATTAAAGAGGAAGAGATTATATCAATTTGACAAATTAACGTCAGTTTTTCATGGAATTGTCCTGTTATTGATCATGAATTTCGTCATGGCCTTGTCAAAGCAGCTGTAGATCCACAAGGAGATGGACCGTTTGAATTTGTGCAGTCATTGTAAAATCTGGTTTCACTGGGACAAATTAAGTTAACTGCACGTCCTTAATATGTAACTGCCCGTATTATGGAGGTGTGCACTTTCACTTATTGTGAAAGCGAAGAATGATAGTCGCAGTAAATTTTCCAATTTAAACAATTGGAAAGAAGAAGCCTGAAAAAATCAGGGCTTCAACGGGATTCGAACCCGTGACCTCCACGATACCGGTGCGGAGGTCACGGTTTCGAATCCCGTTGAAGCCCTGATTTTTTCAGGCTTCTTCTTTCTAATTGCTTAAATTGGAAAATTTGCTGCGACGATCATTCTTCACTTTCATCTACAATCGCTGTTCAAATATGAATTATTTCATATATACTTCACATCACTTCACTTATTGTATAAAGTTACTGGCGTGATAATGGAGAGGGCGTTCGAAGAGATGAGAATACGCCTTATAACATTGTTGATGGATTGGATAGAGTAAAATAGGATCAAACATGAGCTCTCTGACATTTCTTCGCGGATGCATCATTTGATGAGAATGCCTTTTTTTGCCATTGAAGTCACTATAGCTCTTATTTTTGACTGTTTTAGAATGAACCAGGCCCAAATTGAAGGTCTTCTTTGGAGTTTTAATTTGGATTTTCCGACGAGTATCCCTCCCCCTTGACATGGGGAATCCTCCGGAGGAGGGCTGGATCCTACTTACCTTGACACACGTCACAGCTTTGTCGACATTTCTTTAACATGTAGCCTGGATTGTTGTCGCATTCTCCACTTTTGGCCCATTTCAAGCATCTATATTCATCGTCGTAACAATCACCTACACGACAAGAAAGAATATATGTTTACAACAGGTGTCAGCCGTAAGCGCTAGCACAGAATCTGTAGATTACCACTCGCTAAGTTGTTGATCAACCTATAAACCAATAATTTCAAAATTCAATAAGCTATTGTGAAATAAATTCTCAATGCACTGAATTCGATACTTAAAGCGTAGAGGCCTGATTGAGATATTGTTAAGCCGTCAAACAAATATAATATGGCCTTAGGTGTCCTGCAGTGCACAACGAGGATACTCGGAGTAGTATAAACTAACAAACAAACAAACAAAGCAAAAAACAAACACTTCGTATTTTTAACAAGGTTAAATTATTTCTCACTCGCAAACTTGTCTGTTGTAGTTTCTTCATCTGGTAGTTTAACTTCGCTTAATGTAAGTCCTATTTCTGTTGCTTTTCGGATGATGTGCTCGCATTCCTCTTTGGTCAAAAAGTCTGGTATCTCTAGGAAATAAACAATAGCAAAATGTGGTGCAGTCATTAGTAGCAAGACTAAGGGCTCGAAGTTGCTACGTAAAAGATTGCATGTGGCGTGAGTCTGGTATCTAGAAAATGAGAATAAACAATGGCGAGGTCACTACTAAGCAACTGATCGCATGTGGTGTAACAACCATCTGGGTAACAAGTAATTAAATAAAAATCGCAAACTTAAAGAGTGCGTAAATCAACTCTGTCACTCCAAGAAAACCAGGCAAATTGACCACATCTTATATATTCTTTATTTCATATCTTGTCAAGTATATACGTCTTTAATACAATAGTGCATATATCTCTTTTGAAAAGGCAGAGGAAGTACTTTCCAGGAAAAAAAAATGGTTACCTTATGGAAGCTTGTCTAACTTTCAGAAAAATTTTAATCAGAAATGCCATTTTTTGCCGTTCGTACAGTCATTCGTTTATTTGGTCGATCGTTCAGTCTGTAAGATTTGTGCACCATTGCGCCATACTGATTTAAAGTCAGAAGAGACATACCAAACACAGGAGGTTTGAGCGCTCGAGTGATCATTTTATGGGTTTTCCCTGCAACTAAGTGAACATGTCTTACATAGCCAACCTGCAAGAAAACAATTGTATCACAAAGCATTTATTGCACTTAGCTTTGAGCTGCGATGAGGCAACTAATTAATCCGTAGTTTCCATGCACGATGCTACCAATACATAGGACCTTAATATTATAATCTATACTGGACAAGACATCGTTAAAAATCCCATATAATTGTGCATCTAGCGGAAGGCGGGCAGACTAGCTGGCTATTTACATCGTAAGAGAAGGAGTTAAATTCGGGTCATCTGACTGCGAACAGAGTTCAATCTTGTAGCAGCATTTAGAACCAGGAGGTCTCCAGGATTACAACACCAGCCCAATAAAGATCACCAGGCCACTCTGCCTAAATTAACAGCTTTCCATGTTAATTTGCTGACATTTTTCAGTGAGACCTGTAATTCTTCATATAGTGGACAGGCAAATCAGTTCTATATTAAGTGAGCCCTTTGTCTATTCGTTGATTTGCTAACAAAATTCCAGCTATCTCAATCTCCTTCCTAGGGTGACCGGTGTCCGTGGAACTGAGGCTGGATGTACCTAGCATTTTCGGATCAAGGCACGTGTTTCGTACAGAGAGAAATTTAACCAGGTTTTCTATTTCCAAAATACTGAAATCAATTCTTTTGTTACTGATTTGTTTCGTGATCTGTTTCAAAGTCAAGTTTGTTTACAAATGGCAAATAAAACGTCAATCAAACAGCAGTGCAAACAATGAAAAGGCTCAGTTATAATATTCCTCGTTACTACGAAAATACATATAATACATTTCTACATATTGTTCAGAGAATTAGCCTAAATTATGGTGTATTTGGTTGATATTTGAGTTCAACAAGTTCTTTATTGTTTTCGCTTTTGTAACCAGCTCTCTGGCAATTCCTTCAAAGCAAATCTGACGGAGAGGATTATCTAGAAGCTTCATTTATTCGTTAATTAAGATCAACAGTGGCGTTTGAGTTTTACCACTTAACAGGGTCTGGTGGCATAATGTTTGTATTGGACATATTATAACTCTTACTTGGCGCCAAGGTTACATTACCAGCTGAGTTGAATAGTGCCCCCGCCGGTATAACAAGTAATCTGTGACAGGTAGGCGGCTATCGTAAAAGAGAATTATTTTGGCCCTTAACATATATGTATTTTATCCTTGGATGTTCAATTCTCTAGTAACTCAGGTACGGCTTAAAAGAATCTTTCTGAATGGGAAGTGGAAATCCAAAAACCGTGAGGTTTATGAGCTCCGAATCGAATTCTACGTAGAAAATTAACAGAGACTTCATTGATGTGGTACATCCATGTTCATAAGAATTTGAATAAAGGACACAACTCATCTTAATATTAAAAAAAAATACCTCCTTTCCATCATAGCGGTACAGACTCTGCTTGCTAGTCGGCCGTGTTTTGGACTCACAAACGGCTTTGCTTGACGTCCAGTTCAGGAGGCAAATATTTTCATCTGTAATAATCTTTGGCGGGTACATGTAGCTGAGTTCCAAAGACAAAACATCACGACCAGTCCAGCAGGCAGTGAAAACAACTGCCAAATTCTTTACCAAAGTAGAGATGTCCATTAATTCGCGTGAAGAGTTATCGAACAGTCTTCTAACGCCACCAAACTGTTCTGGCATAAAAGAGATTTTCATTGATAGAACAATACTGAACCTGTTGGTACATCTATTGGACAATTTTCCTTCTTTTAGCAGGTTTTGACATGTTAAAGGCAATCAATGCAAATATAGACTGTTCTATGTATTATGGCATTTATTTAGTGGAGCGGGCGTCTTGGTTAAAACGATATCGGACGATCATTACTGAGTCAACGGGAAATTAGAGATTACACTGGGGTCTTTACATATAAACAATAGCCTCCATTTGGCGCGAAAATATGTTCGGATATTTGTCGGCGGACATTATCTGCTCCCAGAAGCGAAGAGGTTTCCGAGAAAACTCGAGAAAACTGTGAGTTTCGAGTAACAGATAGTGATGTCAAAGGACAAATATATCCGAGCTTAATTCTTTTAGGAACTCTCTTTGGAAAAAAAATTTTTGAAGAACAGCAGCTTTTAAATCATTTTATTCTGTGATTTAGTTANTGGTTTGTTAGTATTTTTATACTATTTTAGTGCTACCCTCTTTAAATAAAGTCTTTACTTACTTACTTACATATTTTCGTGTCAAAAGGAGGCTATTGTATTTATTATCCTTCAAAGATTTATCACGACACGAAATTTGGGGAAAAGTCACTCGGGCGTATTCCCCAGTTTTAATTAAGGCATAACTAGTCGCGTGACACGTTTAGACCAATCGCGTGCGAACGAAAATATTTGATGGATTATAATGCAAAATATCTCACATAGAATCTCCGAAAAGCCGCAATTCGTTAAATTTAAATTGCTTCGCTGGTCTTATTTCACCTGAAGCCCACAATCACAACATATCTTAAAACAGCTTGAGGGCCGGATTGTTGTAGAATTATATGATCGGCCTGAGGTCTGAGCGCAGCGTATGTATCGCGTCAATAAAAAAATAACCAAGGGACGATAGTCTCCCAGTTTGGTCCTGGACAGCTTGGTTAATAGGGCGTTTATAATACCACTAGAAATGTTATAAAAAAAATCACATGATCACGAATTGGTGTTAATCGACGGTCAGCATTGCGGCCAAACTACGGCACAGTTATCTGATAAAATTACGTTTTCAAAAATATTACATATCCCGGCATGGTGCCGGTGTTGCGGTCAGTTAAATCAATGGCAATTTCTTCATGAAATGCTTTGTAACTACTTATGCTCCTCAGAAGCGTTCGTCGCATTTTGGTACGCTTTGGGCGATATATATGTTATTCAGCTTACATCTTTTTTCTGCAAAACTTTGGCACCTAGCTGAAATTAAACCTACTTACCATTACTGATAAACACAACAATGAAAAACAAAATAGTCGACACTGCAGATATAGTTTTTGTAAATTAAAAACTAGATCTATACATGTATATAAAGAATTCTTTGGGAAAAGTGACACACTCCCTCAAGTAATTTCCTCTTCTGAGGGGGCTTAAAATTATTTTTCATTAAAAATTTTAAAAATTGGGGGAGAGTTGCAATATTTAATTAACAGCGTTAAAAGTCCACATAAAAGGGTTGCTTTTTAGTGTAGATAAACAGACTAAGGCTGAGCAAATAATCCTTAAATTACCTCCTGCGCCAAACAGCTGCAGAGGATCACGATCAACCCTGTATATTTATAAATAAAAAAACATTAGCATTACTACCGTGGCCATTATACCGCGCTTCAGAAGGATCGCCACACTGATTCATATCAGCTCTGTTCGATTCAGTTCAGTTACCGTTCAGCCTCCGTTTTTTCCTGCAACTAGGTAAGTAACTAACCTTATTTCTTTTACACTGAAGAGTTCGATGCGGCCGGTGCAGCGCTGATTTTCACAAGAAAATTTACGGCTTAGAGAGAAAGGAGACCCTGTTGACCTTTGTTATATGCATGGCTGGAGCTTCAAAGATAATTCGGGCACAGTGGATGTTGTAACGTGTGCCCTCCGTTCTTAGTTTCTATTTTGTCAGTCTATTGAGCGGTTGAAAGTTTATCGATATCACACTTCTGTTCAAGCAACCAACAGTTTTCCACACTGATACGTCCTGGCTCAAAAATAAAAAGCTGAAAAAAAGCAATAAGTAAGTGAATTTGAAATTGCTTTTGATACGGAGTGGCACATAGGAATATCCTACCCTTTTACAAACTTTCAACTACCACTTTTTGTTTTTCTTTTCTGTGCATCATTGGAATTTGTCAATAAGCATGCAATCTCTAACGGGAAGTGCAACTTAAGCTCATAGATGATTATAACTATGACACGTATTTCTCTAGTCATTGTTTGGCCGTTTAATTACAATTCCAGCTACTAAATGCTCCTCGTTTTCCCGGTCTTCCTCTTTCTCAGTTCAGTCTGTACCTGTAATTTCAAATATTATGACTGAAGAAAATTTTGAAGGGAAAATTCGATGTTGCAATCTCCTAGTTTAGTTGTCACCTAGGCACTTGCCGATAGAGACAATAATTCATAATGGCGATGCCAAGAAAAGATGTCGCTGGATGATTTTCCAAGCAAAACTTGGCACAATAAAAATGTACATATAGTTCCGATGACATGATAATCTACGGTGGCCCCAACTCGATAAAACAAAAGCTTAAAATTTTGCCCGCACTAGTGAGTTTAAAACGGCTTAGTCGGGCTGTGTTGATAACACTAATTCAAATTCTCTATCAAACAAACTTTCAGTTTCAAATGCTAATTTATTTCAGACCATGTGGTCAAAACAGGTCGGCTCGGTGTCTGTCCTTTGTAGGGATTTTGGGACTCGGGACCTGATATGAAACCATGCCGTTAATACTGGTTTGGCGATATCAAATATTTCTCCTCATTTGTTTTTGGCGAAAACTACCCTCTTACACACACATGTCAAATAAAAATTTAAGTAGATTGTTATTTCAGTGGAAAAAAGAAAGAATTTAAGAGAATTTAAGACAAAGCACAGCAAAGCGATTTTTTAATTAAAAAAGCTAAGATTTTTTAATTAAAAGTACTGAAAAAGATTGAAATGTGTCCGTTATACTAAATAAAAAAATGTACGCGTGCATGCTCCAAAAACATGTTTAACGTATTTAGTGCTTTATTACAAATAACATCCCGCTTCAGAGAATAAGAAATATTATTATCGCAGTAAACTCTCGATTATCCGGACTATTTACCGAGGTCCCGACGAGTCCGGATAATCGAGGTTCGACTGTATGTGCATGCCAGTCGATTTAGAACCTGCTAAAGGGCCTTGGTATGTAAATCACTGAGATGCGAGGCAACGCAACTTAATCCCTCATCGGTGCAATTGCCTTAATTTTTCAGTTTCACTCCCTGATTTTATGCGGACTTTTGATTAAGGAAAGAAACTAAACAGAAAAGTTGACCATTGGTTTTCGCTTCTCACTTTATAGCCTTTTTGAGCCTAATTTATTCTATTTATGTCACGGTCAAATAACTGAAAGTTAGGGACCATGTCAATATTGTGCATGTGCGACTTCTTTGGCATTCGAGATGATATGTTTTAAGTAACAAAGAGTGTTTGAATGAGTGTCTGTTATTTGTAACAGAAACATCCAAATACTAGAGAGCGGGAGGGAACTGTGATGAGTAAACAGAGGGTGGTAAAGGGCATTTCCGTGATCGGCCCTTTTTATTTCCTGTGAAATGTGAAATAGCCATTTTTTTTCCTCGTGAATCGTGATTTCCATAGTCGCTGTGAACCGTGATTTTCGAAAACGTTCTCTTTTATTTTCCGTGAAGCGTGAAATGCCAATGTTGAAATTTTCGTGAATTGTGAAAGGGCTGCTTTATTTTCCGTGAAACGTGATCTATACCCCCCC